CTAAGGATTCTAAAAATCATTATTGCATTCTCCACATCCCAAGGGCATAACAAGACGATATCATCAATGTAAAACATATGAGAAATCTCAACCTCCATCATCCCCGTGATATGAGCATAACCTAGAATACCCTCCCTCCAACTACATACCAACATGACATGAAGACCCTCCATCGCTAGGATAAGTAAGAAAAGGAAAAACGGATCACCATGCCTCAAACCTCTCCTAATGGCAAACTCTTCTACATAAAAACCCTAAAGAAAAATAAAATGAACTAAAATATCAAAATTAAGTTATTTTGTGTGTAAGTTTAATTGATTAAGTGTATAAAAATTAAAATAATTACGTATTTTCAGTTTCTATTGAAAATTGAAATAACAAGCATTTTGTTGGCCTCGTCTTATATTATATTTTAGGAGTTTACATGTTTTGTCAAATTTTAGGAACATTATTAATAAAGAAACCCATGAAATACACATAAAAGCATAAAACCAAAATTGAAAAAACAATCTTTTCGTATTTTTAAATTCAAAAATCATAATTTGCGGGTTGGTTTTGTATTTAGTAAAAATAAAACTATATTCATCCTTAATGTTAACATACTCTCTTAAATAGTCATAACTAGTAATTGAGTTTGCGTTTTGTCACGAATTTTTACATGTTTTTGTTGTATATTAGAAAAGTATAATATATATATATATATATATATATATATATATATATATATATATATATATATATATATATGTAGTACGGGGACGGGATAATCATGAATGTTTAAAAAATAAATGGGTGAAGACGACATTTTACGAAGTTGAAGGTGAAGGGTGAAAATGATATTTAAAAAATAAACGGAATAAAAATATCATTTTACAAAATTAAAAAGACTGTGAGTGACAGATTATATAAAATTAAGAGATTAAACTTGGACATTAACACAATTGTACATTGTACATAAGAGTATGTACTTTTAGCTACAATATTTTACACTCACATATAATAAAAATTTGCATTTTGTGTATATTTATAATTTGTGTTGAATTCCAAGAAAACAATGTTTTTATTTTTATTGAATGATTTTCAAAATTGAGTTGCTTTTTTTGAAAATAATGACTTTTCAAATGAAAAGAATTAAAATGTAATAACACTTTTTTTTTTTAAAAAATCCTATAAGAAAACAACAAATATGACTTTTTATTTTGTTTCTTTGGTTCCACTCGCCGGTTTAAATAATAGGCAAATTTGCATTGGCATCCGCGACCCCATTCAAAACATGACATATTGGCAACCAAACTACCAAAGGGTTATCGGACCGAATTAAGTCAAATGAAAAAAAAAAGTTATTTATTCAAACCATATAGATTGTTGAAATATTTTAAGAGAGAAATGAATTGAGAGTAGTCTTATTTTTCAAAAAATATATAATATACATATAACAACCATTTTTATTCTAAAATCCCCGTCAAGCTTAATGGTAGTACTAATGAGCAGCTTGGAATGGATATGAAATACCAAACTATAAGAGGCACACTGTATGTACCAAATGAAGAGTATATGTATATCTTTTTATATGTTTTTCAGCCTTTGATAAAAAAAAAAAAGGTTGATAGATACATCACACCATGGATTACAGCGTAAAGATGTGATAAACATACAATAGCCAAGAAAAATAAGAACACACGTACTTACATGATTAAATATGCAATAAACACGCGATAGACATGTAGACTATGGTTTGAGTTATAGAGTCTAATTGTTGATGAAATTAAATCAGCTCTGTAATGACAAAGCAATAGGGTCTTATATGAAGTTTTAGACCCAACATTGTAAACCATACCTCTATATCTCGACATAATTTCCAACCTAGTTACAAAAGTAATAGAAATCCTCTCAAGTTTGTTTGTGGGTTAGCACAATTACAATTAACCGTTTCAACCACATGAATCGTGTATGTTCTTTATGTATGTTTTCTTTGCATCTTATAATTATGCATGTGTTGAACAAGAAGAACTCATATCAGAGTTATGGCTGAAAACGAAAATGAGAACATTGAAAGTTGAACGGCCATGATTCTGGTTTTTGAAGGATGAGGATTGAATATTACCTCTACAGAAAGAAAAAAAAAACTACACAAACCTTTGAAAGAACAAAAACACGAGGACATGTTTTTTTTTTTGGCAGAACAAAAAACACAAACCTTGGATCGATTCGCACTTGGTGTAGTCATGTTTTTTTTTTTTTTTTTTTTTTTTGGTAAAGAATGTCTTACACAATATCGTAAATAAGAAGATGATGTTTGAACCGATCACAACGTTGCCCAACATGTGTGAAAAACCTTATGGTACATGATTAAAGTTTCAAGATCACAACGTTGTCCAACATGTATGAAAAACCTTATCATACATGATTAAAGTTTCAAGGTCAACGTTGTCCAACATGTGTGAAAAACCTTATGGTACATGATTAAAGTTTCAATATGTAGTTCGGAAAAATGATGCAAAGACATAAAGATGTTACGGATTGATACTCTATATAAACATCAATCCCAACAACACATGTAGGGTTGTAAACGAATCAAACGAATACGAACAAGGGCTTGTTTATGTCTGTTCGTTTAAGTTAGCTGAACAAATGAACGAACACAAATGAATAAACGATTCATGTTCATTCGTTTATGTTCATGAACATGTTAAACGAACATAAACGAACGTAGATAAATAAACATAACTGAACATATATAAACACAAACGAACATATAATATATATATTAATGTAATCAAACACAACTGGAATTTTATGAACATAAAAGAAACTTAAATGAACAAACATAAACAAACGTAAACAAACACAATTGAACGAACAGGACTATTGTTCGTGCCCGTTCGTTTAACTAAACGAACAAAAATTTGTGTTCATACTTTTCACACTAATGGTTTGAGAATAATCCAATGTGGGTTTAATATTTGTTATCATCCAAACAAAATGGGATTGTAAGAAAATCCAAATCACATGCACCAACACTATTACACTAATAATAACTGTTTGACAGGGGTGAGCATTTGGACCGGTGGACCGGACCGGACCGTTTTTTTGGACCCCCGGGCCGGTTCTCAGTTCTAGGAATCCATCAAAACCGGTCCGGTTTTTTTCCCGATCCGGTCCAGTTTTTACCGGGTTTAGAAGTTAGACCCGATTTAAAAAAAATGGTAATCTGTGAATTTTTTTAAACAACCATAACTCATTCGTTTTAAGTCGGATCGACACGCGGTTTTTCCAACGTTTAATTTACAGTTTGTAGATGAATTTAGACTATAATTTTATTGATTTTGGTATTCTATTCAATGAGTTACAGTCTTTCAAAGTTGAGCTATCAAAGCTGGAAAAATTTCAGCTTTTTAACTATTATTTTAGACTATAATTCTGAATATTATGTATCTTTGACAGATAAATCATATGAAAAGGATCTTGGTGAACTTGATTTATATGTTAGTTGCTTTTATTTGGAAAATCAATTTTGCAAGTTATAATATTATACATCAAGGTGGATTAGTTATGCATGAAACGGAAACGTAATCATTTTTACAAGTTGTATAGTATCAAACTCAACAACATATTCGTTTTAACGAGTTCTATCAAACCCAAAAACTTATGTTAACGACTTGTACTCTATGCAATTAAAGTTGTACCGGTCCAAATGGGTCCAAGAACCGGAAAACCCGGACCTGGACTCGGACACGGACACGACTCATCCAGTCCAATCCACGGTCCATAATATTCTCCATAACCGGTCCGGTCCGGTTCGGTCCAAATGCTCACCCCTACTGTTTGAGATTTGGTTCAACACCCTTTGGATTGATGAAGGATAGAAAACATGTTCCCAAGGATCTTGTCGGATTCATAATTGATTACAAGGGATTTTAAGATATTCAAACAATCACAAAGGTTTAAATTGTTATTCAAATGTAAGGATTTTTGCTTAGATTAAGATCTTAAAGAGCATATGTGTGAATATTATTAATCATAATGTTATAACATACTTTAAGAAGTTAAGTGAGCTTATATAACTCATTGATTGGTGAGTCTTCTCATAAGGAGAGTATATTCATGAATAGCTATTGAATGAACTACATCATTACAACATATAACACAAGATCTCCTCTAAAGCTAACACATATCCATAATTATCTTGATAGTGAACCTGAAACTTTGCTTATGGCGTAGTTAACATCTCAAAGCTACAACTCCATATCAATGCTCTAGTATCAAAACTATGGCATAATAACACATACCTAACATTTCAACCCTCAATGAAGATAATTAATCACTTGTAGCTCTTAACATTCTCTACTTCTTTCAACAGTTGAAAACACTATCTTATGAACCTAAATACCAAGTAAACTAACAGCAGAAATCAGTTTATACTCTCTAAAATGATAGATTTATAGAATTTTTTACAATCATGTCAAGAATGAATTCTTCATTCTTCCATCTAGCAGAGTTATCAATTTAATCACAGTTTTAGATGGATGGTTGGAAAAGAAAATAACATAGACACCATAGCATGCGTATTAATGTCCACATAATTACGAATCTGACAAACTATAAAATGGAATTGAAGTACTAAGCACTTATTAATCAATAAATACATGTTTAACAAGAAACCAATTATCGCAATGAAACCTAAATGTAATTCATTGATTAGCTACACAGCAGTTATGAGCAAGTGGATTGAGAATCTCAAATCAGATACATATATAAAAAAACAAGAATTAATAACAAACATGAATTCAATTTAACAATTAATAGCTTTATTGATGATGCTTTTTTGACCTAACAGACATAATTTTCACATAATCCTTCGAAGGAGCAGGAAAACTTCCAATCCATTAACAAAAGACGAACCCCTACTAACCTTCGATTGAATATCATCTTAATATATAATCGAACTAATGTAATTTTGTTTCTTTTACATATTGATATAAACAAACTTGCTACCTTAATCAATGAGCAACTAAGAAATCATTAGGGAAAGCATCAATAACCGGTTCAGGACCATCTGATGTCGGAGTATTAGGGTTAGGGTCGAGAAAAAACATAGATCTAGCAGCCATTAGCTTCTTCCTCTGCGGACACCGAGGACCATAAAATCTGACGGAAAAGCAAGGGGAACCGCCGTCGGCGGCGGCAACAGTACCAGTACCTTCCTCCTGTTGTTGCTGTCCTACACCGGCGGCGTTAGGAGACCGCGACGGAGAAGAAAGAGGCGACAAGGATGAAACGCGATGAAGATAGATCTGAGAAATGGATGATCGGTGATGAGATTTAGCAATGATTTTGGAGTCGCGGAGTTGAGCAAGAGCTCCGGGCTTTAGGTAGCGGAGGTAGCCGTCGGCGGTGGAAGATCGGTTTCTGATACGACGGTTCATGGCGGCGGAGAAAAATGAAAATGTGTGAGAGGGAAAAGAGGAGACGTGGGGATTTTAAGGGGGCGATGGAGCGGGAAAGTGAAGAGAGGGTGAAAGAGAAAAACCCGTAAATAGTGCTTTTTTAAATCAGGTGTGGCGCGGGGATACAGCCTTTTATTTTGGATTTTCCTTTTTTATTTTATAAGAGGGTACGTTTTATAAAATACAACAAACTTTTATAAATTTTTTGTCTTAAGTTATCAAAAAATTATCCTACAAAAAGAAAATCTTTAAAGGTCATGTTCAAGTTAATAGATTTCTATTTTTTTTCTCTATCCGAATATGTACTAACGGTCATATATTGTCATATCAGTAGATTTTTTATTTTATTTTGTTAGGATAGATACCAACGGTCAAATGTTATCATATGAATTGAATTTATGTTACGAGTTAGAATTTATTTGTTATCTACTAAATAGGTTACCGTTAACAAAAAATAAAATAGAAATGTATTACCTTAAGATTTTCATTTTAAAGTTAATTACTTGATTAAATAAAAAAAAGTCAATAGTTTTTATCAATTACTATTTTTTTTTAAAATTTAATGTTATATCTTTTAAATAAATTCTAATGATATTGTATATAAACATCACCCTAATGGCTTAGTTGGTTGTGATGGGGGGATTATAAACACTTCTTTATGAGAAATGTAAGTTCAAATCCTGTCAAATGTAAAAAAAAATAAATAAATAAATAAAAAAAATAAAAAAATTGGTTGAGAGTTGAGTTCACGATCTACTAAGGTGTCTTAACATAAAATCCAAAAACATGCATCTTTCTTATATCATCCCATAATGCAGAAGTCATAATGAAGGGTTGGAAAACCGGGTATATGCTCAAGAGAGTGTAGTATATGATCAAAATTAAATAATTTTGTTGAATTACAACACTTCGATTGGTTTGAAAAAAATAATAATTGGGTGATTGGTATGAACTTTTCAAACCAAATAGTTGGTCATTTTTAAAATCAAATTGAAACATATATATATATATATATATATATATATATATATATATATATATATATATATATATATATATATATATATATATATATATATATATAGGCAATTTGTGCGTACTTTAACACAGATAATATAGTATAGTGTTTACCATTTTTTGGTTAATAAGTAGTTTTTTTGTCTTCTAGGATCCTCATTGAATAACTTTCCCCATTTTTATATATTCTTCTTTCAGCAAAACTCCAATATAAAAATATAGTTTTTTTTTTCCATTATTATTGTTCTTTTAAGCGATGTTATATTGTGTTCTATCACAAAGCTTCTTTTATATTGTGTTGGATGTATGTTTAAAAGTATCTCCTTGTGAATTAAAATTAACAACCAGGAATTGTCAAATGCAACCTAAATTGGTTTTAATGATTTGAAATGAAATTCATTTATCAGATTGTTCCACTGATATTTTATCATTTAAAGCTATACATACATGTTATATGTACGAAGTTTGGTTTCATTTAAACCAAGACGGTTAGTGCATGGATAATGTAGTTGAATGGAGATGTATGGTAGTGGCTAGTTTGTACATAAAAAAAGGTTTTGTTACTAAATAAACTGAATACAAATAAATGATTGTTTTATCAATATGTTTAAAAATGATGATAAAAATTATAATGTTTTATATGTGATTTTTTTAAAAAAATATTTTATTTATGATAAAACAACATAAATTGTTAAAATATAAAAACTAATTATTTAGAGAATTTGTAATATATGTTGCAAAATTTATTGCATGAATATATTAAGTAAAAAAAACAGTACCTAAGTTTGATCTTGTTTAGTATGAATTTTGCGTCCAAGAAACAATGATCACATAGCCTCTTAGACCTAAGCGCTCCTCAACCCAAACTCTTCTTATGAATTTAGAATGATGTTAAATAACTAGTTTTATGTTCATATTGTCAAGGTGTTAGTAGTTTGTGCTAAAACATTTTGGGTTAATTAATAGATAAAACCATGTTTGTTTAACAATACGTCAAAAAAAAAAAATGCCGTCCCTTGTAAGTTAGTGATGATGACAATCCACTTATGATTAAATTGGCCTAGGATTCCGCTACATCATCGCACTTCCCATTTGACAAAAACCATATGCATTGATTAAAAGAGTTCATACTTTTATATCATAGTATAAGAATGGGTCATAAAACCGTCCTTATCAGCTGATGCGGCACATTAAAACGGCGTTATAACACCAGGAACATTGTCCCCGTCTCCCATTATGGTAAGCCATGTTATAACGCCAACATATTGCAACGACAGCATGCTATGATCAATAAGTTGTTAGGGAAACAGCAGTAAGTTGTTAGGGAAGCAACAACAACATGTTATAATCGTTAAGTTTCTAGGAAAACAACAGTAAGTTGCTAGGGAAGCCACAATAGCATGCTATTATTAGAAGGTTGCAAGAGAGTCAACCAAAAGATGTGATATCAACAATAAAAATCCAAAAATGCCAATTAGAAAATAATAATAAAATCAATAAGAAGACAAGTTGCTAAGAGAGCAACTATAAGTACCCTACAAATAGGAAATAGGATTGACCTTTTAGGTAAAACACACTAATCCTCTCATATGTTGTTTCAGGAAAACAACCTTGTTATCCTAACCCTACTTAACCTAACCGTCATTCAAACCAAGATTCAGCATCAAGTCTTTGATGCATTAGGAAATCTCATAGTTGACCATGGAGAAGGAAACAGCAAGGAAAGTAGTCAAGCTTACCAGAATTTTCTTTATAGTAAGCCAAGATCCTTCTATGGAGATGAAGGAGTAAATGGCCTAATCCACTGGATCAAAGGAATAGATATTAGGTGTAATAAGGAGGTTAGGGTAAAATTTGCAACTTGCACTCTCATGGGGAAGGACCTCATCTGGTGAAGTATCCAGGTAAAGGCTTTAAGAGTAGATGCAACCTATACAATCTCTTAGGAATAACTGAAAAGGAAAATGATAAGAGAATTATGTTCTACGGGAGATTTGGCCCGGGTAGAACATGAATTCAGTCAATTAAGCACTAGGAAGTCCAATCTAGCCTTCTACACCATATGCTTTGAAGACTTATCCATTGTATGCTTAGAACTGATTGGATCGAAGAGCAAGAAAATCAGTGCATATCTCCAAGGACTAGAACCTCAAGTCTGGAAGCAGATACAAGCATACAATGTCACACCCCCAAACCGAGATGGCGGAAACATTCGGGGGTGGAGGACGTCATGTACAGTATCATAACAATGCACAATAGTAAAACAATCAACAACATCCATTGCATTAATAGAATAGTTAATACATGTATGTTCTTTGTATAGTTTTAAGACACCAAAAATGTAACATCAAAATATAAAAGACGAGTCTGAACATGCTCCGTCTTCTCCAAAACCTGTGCCAGTGTATCTGCCTACTGGTTCCATGAGAATACAAGTTATTTTGAAAGAGAGTATCAACATTTAAGTTGGTGAGTTCATAAGTATTTAGTGTCAAATGTTTGTAGTTGTATCATGAAAATGTTTGTATTTTTTTAGTGAAATGTTTGTATACTTCCCAGAATATCCTATATTTTCTTCTAAAAATGAAAAGTAATCTTCTACCCAAGACCCGACTGTTTTGTATGTTTGTTCTCTAGTAATAGTGTAAAATGTATGTTTGTACTCGAAATAGTATAAAATGTATGTTTTCCATATTTGTAAACCATCTTTACTAGAAAAATAGTATGCATTTCTCATGTGAGAATATCATTGTATGAATGTAATGGAAAATGAAGGTTTACAGTAGAATTGTATGAAATACACTACTGATGCATTAACTATCTTGTAACCAAACTGGTTAATTAAGGTTAAATGTGATTAAGGTTATAACCATGCTTGATTGACTAGTATAAAACACGACGTTCTTCAGGCGTCGAAAATGATATGACATTTGTCACCCGTAGACCTGCAGGTCTCACTATAGCTAGCGGCAAGGTGTGGGATGGTCAATCCCGTATAGATCTATACACAAACTCACGCTCTCCCTCCAGGAGACTCTGGTTACAAAACGTGACATAACAAGTATATTGTTATGCCATGAAATAGTATCTCACATTTTAGTTATCTTGTTCACGTATAATATGTAAGTTCCTTTCTGTTCTTGTAAATGAATAGTATACTTTGTATTGAATAGTAATAGTATGTATGTATTGATCCCTGTATTGTTTCTCTGTTCTAGAAAATAGTATGTATTGATCCTTTAAACTATACCTATTATAGTTTACTGGTATGTTTGTTTGAACTGTAATTGATTTGGAGAAAAGACTCAATTGATCAATGTTTGCAACTGAGTTAAGTATGTACTTTGAAAATGGGGTTTAATATTCATGTATATATTTAGCAAGTATAACTATGATTTAGCCGACAGTCGGACTAGTGATCCTACCCTAAGCCCACAACCAAACAAGGAACAGAAGTCAAGGTATTTAGCAATAGTCCTAAGTCCGTTAAAGCATACTTATACATAAATATATAAGTGAATACGATTTTGATAATAAACCGCAATCTAAAATAGTTTAAAAGAGTTTTTGAAATGATTTTAACAACTTATAAAAAGCATAAGAAATCCTTTGTTTGTTTGTTTTCACATGTAAATGTTAACACAATTCTATTGTGTTCTACTTGTATTCCCCCCCCCCCCTAAAACATTGAAAAAGGTAAATTGCAGGGGTATGAACTCACCTTAAGTGAGTAATTCGTGTAGATGTTCGATATAAGATGATTGTTTCCACAAGTTAGATCCTGGGACAAAACCAAGTCCTAAATAGCAATTCATGCGATATATTGGCATGAAATTAGTGAATATAACCTCAAAGGTGTTAAGGAAACAAACTAGGATGTAAGAATTACTTACAAAAGAAGTGTTAGAAGCGAAATCGAGTGGCTGCTTGGAGTTCATGGCTGGGCTTCGGTGTTTACGACC